TATCCCATATTACCCGCTAAGTATAAAGTAAGGTTTTTTTTATTTTCAGATATAATGGCTTCTCCCTTAAAGCAAAAGCGAAAACAATGGAGTGAGAAAGATATGGAAAACGCCATTGGATCAGTAAGAAACCAAAATATGGGTTATTTGGCCGCAGCAAGAGCATATAAAGTTCCACGCTCAACACTTTTTCGCCTCTGTAATACTGAAGGGCCTCCAGCAACTGTTAGTAAAACGAAGTTGGGTAAAATACCAATTTTGTCAGCGGAGTTAGAAGAGGAACTAGTACGATATTTACTTATAATGGATCAGAAGTTTTTTGGTCTGACAAGAAGGGATGTTCGATCCTTAGCATTCCAACTTGCTAAACGTAACAATATACCACATCCATTCTCTCTTTTACGTGAATCTGCGGGAAAAGATTGGTTTTCATCATTCATGCACAGGCATAAGAATACACTAAGTATACGAAAGCCCACTGGAACTTCCCTAGCAAGAGCCGTTGGTTTTAATAAGGAAAATGTTACCGAGCTTTTCGACTTATTAGAGAAGACTATGGCGGAGCGAAATTATGGACCTCACCAAATATATAACGTAGATGAGTCGGGGTTGTCCATTGTGCAATCAAGATGTCCAGAAGTGGTATCGCTTAGAGGCAAACGACAAGTTGGTGCTATCACATCTGCAGAAAGAGGTTCACTTATAACCATCGTAATGTGTATGAGTGCGGCAGGTGATTTTGTGCCACCGATGATCATCTTTCCACGCAAGAAAGAGAGTGACCAGCTAAAAAAGGGGGCACCTCCAGGATCCCTGTTTGCTTTTCACCCATCCGGGTGGATTCAAACAGACTTATTCACAAAATGGTTTGACCATTTCCTAGAAAAAGCCAAACCTTCAGCAACAAAACCAATACTGCTGATATTAGACGGCCACCATACTCATACAAGAAATCTAGATGTACTTATCAAAGCTAAAGACAATGATGTTACTATTTTATGCCTACCACCACATACGACGCATAAACTTCAGCCCCTTGATAAGACCGTCATGGGTGCATTAAAGACGTTTTATAACGAAGAAGTGAGAATCTTCATGAGGACGGAAAAACGTGCAGTAACGCATTTTGATATTTGCCAGTTATTTGGTAGCGCCTATCTTAAAGTGCAATCTGGGGAAAGAGCCGTTAAAGGGTTTAGTGCCACTGGGATCTACCCTTTAAGAAGGAATATTTTTACAGAAGAAGAGTTTGCGGCCGAAATGCAAAAGGAAAATCAAAATTTACCGAACAATAACACACGTGCTCATGACGAGCAAAATAACTCGCCTAATGTTTATCCAGTGCCAGAACTAACAAAGAAGCCGGCAACTCGGGGAAGGAAATGTGGGCGTACTAAAATAATTAAGTCGACGCCTAATAAGGAGGAATTAGAGCAATCAATTAATCTCTCAAAACAAAAAGTTATCCGAAACGTTTTTGATGAACCTGGACCTAGTGGATTAAAAAACAAAAAGCGTAAAGTCACAAAAAAATATGTCTCCTCTAGTTCTTCTGATTCACAATCTGAAGCAGTAGTTGATGACTCATCTGATGAAGATCTGCCATTAAGCTGCTACAATAAAAAGCCAACCGGTGAAGATGTCCCATGTATTTTTTGCCTGGAAAAGTTTTCCTCGAGCCGAAGTAAAGAAATATGGGTGCAATGCGTAATCTGCTATAATTGGGCTCACGAAGCTTCTACCAGTGCAGAAAAAGATGTTTTTGTTTGCGATTTTTGCGATTCCTAGATATACTTAGATATACTTCGAAGTTGAGTCATTTATTTTAACAGTGAGTAGATCTGATCAAAAGAAATGTTTTTTTCCTTTACCATTTTTCTGGTAAAATTAAAGTAACAAAGTTATAGCCCTTTGGAAGTTTGAGTACCGCCCTGTCTCAATAATAATATTATGTGCTCGTGTTTGGCAACAACAGATATAATCCGCCTTATCCGTTCATCGCATCGGAAACAAAAAAGCGAAAGAATTTGGAACGATGTTTTTACAGTTATTTTCTTCAGTTGTATACAGTCAGTGTCAGTCGGTAACGCGTGAGTGAATAGTCGTGTCTGTTGCGTGGCTCAAATCAAAAATGGCACATGTTTACGAAAATGCTGAACTTGTGGACATGGTTCTTATTTACGGGGAGTCTTTACAAAATGCTGCCGCGGCATCACGGATCTATGCGGATCGGTTTCCCAATCGAGTGCAACCAACCCCTCGTGCCTTTGTTAATGTAGTGCAAAGAGCTCGTGAATCAGGTGACTTAAGACCTCACAGAGGAGATCATGCCGGTGCTCCAAGACCGCACGATCAAATAGAACTAGAAGAACAAATTTTAGAATTAGTAAGTGATGATCCAACAGTAAGCACCCGACAAATTTCACCTCAATTGGCGATTAGTCAATATAAAACTTGGAAAACTCTACGTGAAAATCAGTTCTATCCGTTTCACATACAAAAAGTGCAGGCCTTACAACCGGAAGATCATGAACAAAGGGTTGACTTTTGCAATTGGCTTTTAAATAAACATCAAAATGATGACAATTTTTTAAATCAAATTTTAGTGAGTGATGAAGCCCTCTTTACTAGAAACGGAATTATTAATTCACGTAATTCTCACGTTTGGGCTATTGAAAATCCCCATGAAATAAGGGAAACCAATTTTCAACGGCGATTTGAACCAATCAACCTGTGGGCGGGAATTGTTAATTGAATTTTAGTGGGGCCTTTTGAATTACCAAATCGCTTAACTGGTGAAAATTATCTTGATTTCATGCAACACAATTTGCCTGGTTTACTGGAACATGTGCCTTTAAATATTAGACAAAACATGTGGTTTTTACAAGATGGGGCACCACCCCATTATGCAAGAAATGTGCGTGAATTTTTAAATAGACAATTTAATAATCGTTGGATCGGCCGTGGCGGTTTTGTACCTTGGCCGCCAAGGTCTCCGGACTTAAATCCTTTAGACTTTTATTTGTGGGGTTGGCTAAAAACTCTAGTGTATAAAACACCGGTTAATACACGCGAAGAATTACGTGCTCGAATTGAGGAAGTGAGTACAGTGATCAGAAATCAACCAGTGATTTTATTGCGTGCTTGTAAAGAGACATGGCTAAAGCCGGCTCCATACGCTTGGCAAACAACGGCAAACAGCAAACACCAAACAACAAATACGAACATGTGGATGAGTGTTTGTTTTTGTTTGCCTGTTTGTGCTTGTGTTTGCCGGTGTTCGACATCGGTGTCGGTTTTTCTTCAGAAATCAAAGGATATTCGGCAAACAGTTTTAAATGTATCCACACGCTTGGTAGCAATCAGTAATGCGCACAAGCTTGCGGGCGGCAGACGTTCCGTTTATGAGTCTAGTTGGTGCTAACAGCAGTGTTTCGCGGGCAGAGTAAAGGAGCTAGAAACTTTGAAAAATGTCTGATTGGTCTGATGATACAATTCTATCCTTTTTGGAAGCATACCAAAATGAACAATGCATTTGGAATACTAGAGATACCAATCACAAAAACAGGCAGAAGGTGAACGATGCGTGGACGCGCCTTAGTGTTCTTATGAACAAAAGTATAAAGGAATTAAAAACTAAAAAAGAAACATTAATGGCTTCGTTCCGAAGACATTTGAAGAGAAAACAGGACTCCATTCGTTCTGGTGCAGGTAAGTTTTGACTATTATTATCAACAAATATAGGCTTACAAAATGTTGCCATTGCAGTAGTATGACCGACCCTCCTAAGACAGTGTGTGAGGTTAACTCCCATATAACCTACCGCTCTGAATCAATGCGTGTTGCTCTATTCCAATATACATATTCTTACTTGAATTTGAACAAATCAATTTTTTGTTTCAGGCGCGGATGATACTTATAAGCCTATCTGGTTTGCATATGAGGTCATGGAGTCATTTTTGGGTCCGGTGTATACCTGCACAAAAAATATAAACACAGAGGAGGTAAGTAAAAGATAATTTATTCATCGTCGTTGCTTGAGTAGGTATATTAAACTCGCTCTTTTTTATACATTCTGTTTAATGACATGACATAAGTAACTACATAAAATAAAAACGAACTTTCATAGCTACCTGAACATATGAACCTAGTAATTGTTTTTCTATGTAACTGCTACGTCTGCTACGCGTATTCCCCAAATTAAAGTAAACACTGGTATAATTTTCGATTATTGTAATAATGCTATATTGACCTACAGAAATATGAAGTAAATTCTTCTCTTATCTGTTTAGCTTGCAAGGGTGATCTACGGGGTTCGTTTGACATATTCTGAATTGCACTATATTCACTTTCGTGATTTCGCCAAGATCCAGGTGTTATTAATGTGCCACTGCTATCAATTACATCGAATGTTCCTGGGGGAGTATATCTTTCTGGAGAGCTTTTTCTAAGGAAGTTATGTATAAGTACACAAGTCATTGTAATTTCTGAAACAGTACTCGGGTCTAAATCAATTGGGCGACGGTAAATTCGAAATATTGAAGTTAAAACTCCAAACGTGTTTTCCACTACTACTCGAGCTCTAGATAAACATTGATTGAATATTCTTTTTGGTGAACCGACGTTATGCTGTCCTGGGTAGGGTTTCATAACATGCATGCTCAGTGCAAAAGCACCATCTCCTATAAAAACGTATGGCACATTAATTTCCGATCCAGGAAGGGGGCATGCTGAAGGAAAATCAATTTCAGTTTTACTGATTTTCTGCCATAGTAATGAATTATTAAAAACGCCTCCATCACTTATTCTCCCTTGGCATCCTATGTCTGCAAATATAAATTTGTAATTGGCATCTACTAATGCCAAAAGAACGATGCTAAACGTTTTCTTATAATTAAAATACTCAGTTCCGCTATGAGGTGGACTTTCTATAAGAATATGTTTCCCATCTATAGAACTGAGACAGTGTGGGAATTTTCTTCGATATCCTCGTTCTATAGTCATCCACGCATCTGCTGTTGGTGGCATCTGAAATCAAAATAAAAAATAAAAGATAAGATAACCAAACAAAACAACTAGTTTTATAGATTTGTTTATTACAGGAAGCCCCATCGCAAGAAATAGCGAATGAAACTGAAGCTATAGAAGAAGAAGAAGATAACAATTTAGGGCAGGCATCAACTTCTTCCCATACGCCAACACCTGTGACTTCTCGTCGTCGTCCTGCTACCGATTCAGCGGAGCGGCAGATGTCGGCAGCTTTTGGGCAGTTAACGAATATTTTAGCTAAAAGACAAAAGGAACATCCACCGCCATCAAAGGAAGACGACGACTGCGACCTTTATGCAAAATTGTTAGCAAAAAAATTACGAGAACTTCCCCCTGACGATAGAAAACTGTTTATGTATGATATAGACACTTTATTTATTAATAGAATTAAGGGAAATCTCGTTAGGCATCCCACCCTATCTTCTTATAACTCAGTCCCATACCAATTGTATTCCGTACCAAATGCTTCACCAATTTCAAACCGGCCATCAACATCCAAAACGTCATATTCCGAACCAAATGCATCACCGTTTTCAGACAGACCGTCATCTTTTCAATCATCGTATTCCGAACCGTTGCCAAATGCATCACCGAGTTCCAACCAGCCATCAACCTCCCAAACTTCACATTCTGAACCCTTGCCTATTGCATCACCAACTCTAAACGAACCACCCACCGCAGTTAATTATACAACCCCCACAATTCACATTATATCTAACGAATTATTTGCACCACGAACAGGACACAACATTGTTAATGAAGCATTACTTAAAGCCTACGAAAACTTTGATCACCGTCAAAATTGAATATGTTTAGATATAGGTACATAGGTTTTTGAATAAATATATTTTTTATTAACAATATTTTTACGGTCTTTTATTGTACACATACCTTACCTTTATTTCAATCCTCAGAACTTCGTTAATAGCTTTGCAGACTTCTTTTACTATTTTTGATATGATTTGCGTTGATACTTTGAATAAATAGTGTAAACTTTTGTAACTGTCACCAGTTGCGATGAATCTTAATGTTATCGCTAGACGATATTTTGCTGGTATGGCGTCTCTAAAGTCCGTATCTTGCTTCGAAATTAGAGGAGAAATTTTGTCTAGCAAATATTCAAAATCTGCAAAACTCATACGGCAGAAGTTATGGAACTCTCCTGATGGTTCATGAAGAAGCTCACAAAATTTTTCGTCCATAAATTTTATAAAACAAAAAAAAAACGTAAAATTGAACACGCTGTAATTAAATGCTATTTTGTATTACTAGGTACGAGACTGCAGTTACCTTGTACGATTTTTGTGAATTTTGATCATCCACCATCGTCTTCGTTTTCTTCTTTTCACTTCACTGTTCTTTTGCTTGAATTTAAAATAAAGATAAGTCAACCCGAAACTAATAGCTGCCACAAGCTCGTCGTCAGCCATGTTTGACGATCCGAAATATACTGGCCCGTTCGCCAAGCTTGAGGACAGTTGTTTGTGTTGGATGTTTGTGTTTGGTGTTTGGTATTCGCTGTTCGCTGTTTGGCGTTTGCGACAAACAGCAAGCGTGTGGAGCCGGCTTAAGACGCGCCCAGTTGTGCGTCGAGCAAAACGGAAATCATTTCGAACAGTTTTTGTGACATGCTTTTGGGCGCACAGGTCCGCACTGAAATACTTGTCGGGAGGATACTTTATAAAACAAGGTAACATTTTTTTTTTAATTTTTTTTTTTTTATTTTTACACACATATTTTGGTTTGTCTTCCTTCTACAACCATTATCTGAAAATTAATGACTCAACTTCAAAGTCACCCTGTATATACGAGTATACCGATGTTCTGAAGTTAAATGGTTTTAGTGAAGTTTTTTGCGTATAATAAGTCTATTCCATATTACCCGATATGCCCGTTCCATATTACCCTCCATTTTTTATTTTCCAACAAAAATGCATTTTTTTAAATGTTTTCATAAATTATCGAATATGATTTAATTTTTAATTTAGCACCTGCCACTCTTTGGAGATACTTAGAACTATTTATTAATGAAATATTGCAGCTCCAAACACTTCAGTTTTGATGTTACCGCTATACGAATAATTGGTATTCCATATATGCCGACTTTACTCTAAATAATAATTTCAAAAATAATATGCTAGCCTCATGGAAACAGCGATGGAGCATACAGTATCGGACAAAAGTAAAGCGATGCTATAATATCCTTCAAAAACTTTTTCACTGTACCTCGTATGATGACGAGCAATTTTGTAGTATCAGTATATACCTTGGTTTATCGTATTTAAATATTCTTTGCCTCTTGTGATAACATCGAGAGATAAAGAAATACCTTATATGTTTTTATGCATTTTTTCATGGACAAAAATAGAGCGACTTTACCGATATTGTTCATACCATCGACTTTAAAACGAGGATAGACCCCTTTGCTTACATTTCTGGTTGTTGACGACATATACAAAGCGAATCGACACGTTGCCTCGCCGCAAGAAACGGCAGCAAAACAACGGATTTGTTCGTGGTCGTTCTACACATTTTCAAACCTCCAGTAACTAAAATTATTCCCTGTTTATGATGATTTTTCAGCGCATGTGTGGGTACTAAACATCATGATTCTCGTACAATGGATTGATATCAAAATAGTCAAACAAGTAAGAACCTTACATAAATTATACCATAATCGACTTGAAGATCTGGCAACGTTGCTTTTATCTGCTCATTCATAATTTATCCACATCGTAAGAAAATAGTATATTGGTAGCACTTATTTAAAGTCGCGTTCGGAAAAGAAATCTCAGATCAGACGGATTTTTAATCACGTGATTTTAGACTTCCCCCACCACTATGGAAAAAACGAACGCTCCAGACCCAACAGATTAAAATTTGACATTTGAAAAGTACTGACAGAGATTTGTTTGTTTTTGTTTTGGTTAGTACTCTTATAGTCCGGGAGCTAGTAACGTCGGGAAAACAACAATTTCAGGTCAGCTGATTTTTTGATATGTTATCCTTCTTCCTCTTTTGGGTAGAGCCTAGGCTATCTGGCTGGCGGTAGCGGTTGCGTTCATTAGTGCGCATCCTACCTGTACAGGTAATAATCCAAGGTTTTGAAAGTATTTCAAGAAGCTAAATTTTTAATTTCTTATCTTTAGATAGGTTTACCAAACACTATTTTTTTATTGCCAGACACTTTTATCATTGCCAATGATATGCCATACGCGATCTTTTTTTTTTTTTTTTAAATTTCAAATCATTATAGTACGTCTGTCATTTTAATATTACATTATTTGAATATATAAAAACCTAAAATTAATTTGCCAAACATTAATTCGATTGCTAAACCTTGAAAAAGAACGACAAACCTGAGAAATCCACACAGCGTCGTGCTAGTAGTTAGAGAGAGATAGTTGTAAGATGTACTGCCGAGAAGAAGACGGAACATCATTACAAAACTACAAATCTTGATGGAAAAAATGAAATATGAAGAAAATTATATTAGAATATATTCTAGTCAAAAACGAAAAAATTAAAATGCATTATTGAAGGTTTAAAAATTAAATTTTTTCTTTATAATGCTCAGGTAACACACATAAATAACAAATTAAAAATATTAAGAATTCTTCTTTAGTTTTTAAATATTTCATTCCATAATCGTATTACAAACGAAGGATGCATCTTCACAATCGTCATCATCGTCGCTCTCATTGCTAGAAGTATTGAAATCATCGTCTTGGTCATTGTCATCATTTCTTAAAACTCTCTCATCTGTAACAAAAAAAAGTTAATATAGTACAGTTTTTGTCGTTTCTTATATGATATTTTACTGATTATTGATAGATATTCTATTGCATACTTACTTTGAATAATAATATCAGCAATTGATGATGGTAACTGCTCTCCCAGGAACCAGACAAAATCATATTTATTATCTTTGATGGACCAACCGGAAGCAACTGGAGATAAAGAAGTTGGATGTTTCAAGTGAGCATTCCTCCAAAGTTTAGTCACGTAGCGCACTCTCAATAAATGCTGTTGCAATTCCGCTTTACAGGGTGGCAAACTCGATGAGTCAAAGTTTCGAAATTTCTTCTCAAAATTTTCATCGGATTTTTTTGATTGAAAAGTATTTGAGAATAAATGAAATCGAACACTATTCACATCTGAAGAATTTTTAACTCCATACATTTGACAAACAAACTTCTCAAGGATTACAAAAGTACTGTCAAGTAAATCTTCGTTATCCGTAGTTATGTTTCCAAACGCTGATTGATATTCTTTAGATTTTTCCAAAATTTTAAAAGGTCTAACTTTACCTTTTCTAAAGAATGCTGGCGTGTAATCGCACCCCGTGATTGCGTGGAAGCATGGTAAAGCTTTTGATAGAGAATCACCAAGGATTCGGTATAATTCATTAACGTTTACGTATCGCTGATGATTGCCTACACCAATGTTAATCCAAATCTTCAAAAATGCATTGAGGTGATCCATATTACCCAGTAATACTCGTATAATTAAAATATCGGAGTCAGAACAGCGTATAACAACGTCGGCATCGAAATCAATTTGACATATATGATAAATAATACGAGAATCAGCTTCTTCGTGTTCTTCACATGATAGAGATTCTTCGATACTCCGTACAACTTTGTTATTCAAGACTTTATACGAATAACATTTGTTGAAACTTACATAAATAATTTTATTACCAATAAAAGGTACCATGTCTTCACTATCCCAGTGATCAATAAAAAAGTTAACTAGAGCTATTTTAAATTCCATGTTTTTAAGTTCTGCTCCGAAATTGTGTGGCCGAATTTGATTAGGACCGATAGATACTGGAATGGTTGACTCTTCTCGACGTGAACGTTCAAAATCCTTAATTGATGGTGAAAAGTATTGGTCAAAAATCACATCGATCCGAACTGATTTCATTTGGGAGATCGCAGAAAGAAACTTTTTAGCGATTCCATCAAAAGTTTGTGGTATCTCTTTCATGAGATGCAACATAAAAAAACCATCAACGATACTAATGTCAAAAGATGACGGCTGTTGATCGATCGCAGTTTCCAATTTCTTCTCCATCAATTTTGTTAATTGTGCTTTGTCGGTTTTACAAATTGAACCATCTGGATGACACATAGACGTTGGCATCGGAGTAAGTGGGAATGACAAAACTTTTTCAATGTCAACCTTGTGAGTAAGGGAAATTCCCAACATTCGACCAAATAAATCTCTTTGCATGCGCAGTTCAACAACTTTATTCCCGAGAGCCAACTTCTTTTTCTTTGGAGCTTCAGTAAAATTTAAAACTCGATTTTTTTTAATCGGCTTATCAAATCTACTCTCATCCTCGGCACATTCATTGATAAACTGGTTTCGTAGACCTTCACCATTTTCTTCGATGCTGATTAAGTAGTCAGCAACCTCAGGAGACACAGGCTTTGAAGTAGCAATATTGTACAGATTTTCGCTATCTAAACTAGGATCAAATGGGTTGCAATTTTTCTCGAGAACTTCAACAAAATCGGCTAATTGTTTACCATAGATTTTCATTCGATTAGGTTGTAAATCTGCAGTTACATCTTCTAAGTACCTTAAACCACAAATATCCAAAACGTGAGAGATTAAAGCAGCTCTGATACTGTGACTTTTAGACCAACGTTGACGCGCTGCTATAGAATTAGTGAAATGTGAAATTCCACTGAGTCGTTTAGCTGCATCAGCATTTATTGTTTGTTCGAGAGTGAGATCTATTGGTACTCTTGAGAATGGTTTATCAGTTCTTTTGACTCCGAAAAATCCTTTATTGAAATCATCCTCTAGACCTGGATGTGTATCAGCGACGTTATTCAAGTTATCTACATATTTTACACAGTATCGAGCGTAGTTAGGTTGATTTACAATGAAAAACAAGTTGGCCATTTTAGGAATCACGGCTTTAAACATTTCGAAGTCACCCATACGTATGCTTCTCGACAAGTTTACGTAATAACGAATTAACTGGATGTAGATCATATAAAACTGCGCTGTTTTTCCATGATCACCTTGCCTTGTTTCTGCAATATATTGTTGATAAGACGTGAGCAGTTGTGATAAAATTTCATTTGGTAATAAATCTCGAAGCGTTGATGATTGCGATATTTTTGTGTCCTGGTATTCTAAAAGATCTTCATAAATTTGTCCCTTTACAAAATTGTGTTCAACACGTTCGGTTTTCAAAAATTGATCAAAATGTAAAATTTGTAAACCTAATGCCATTAATGGATGCAAGCGCTTGCAACGATTGAAGTGTTTACCTTCAATTATTCCATTCACTGACCCCGAAGCGATAATTTTACTCTCAATCATCATGTGAGATAGTCCGCATTCATCGATGAAAGTACCAACTGCTTTAAAAAAGGCCATCATCAAATGAAAGGAGCCAAGATGTATGAAAAGATTGCTAAATTTTAGACCTTCTGTTGCTTGAATTTTTAAAGCTATTTTAGCAATTGCTAAATCATATGAGACTTGCACATAAGCACACTCTTTACCAACACTTTGTGCTTGTTCCATTGTGTATGCTACCACTGAGACATTTGTAGGTGATAAATTGATTGGCGTTAAGTAAGATACTTTTTGTTTTAGACTGTTGTCTTCTAAAATTCGACAGTTAAATCCTGTCCATGACGGTGTATTTGGCACGTGAAAAACATGTGACAGCAAATGCAATAGATCAACTGTTTGTAGTAAAGAGGAACTTTCAGGTAGAGATGGTTGATCAATTTGGACTGGTGTTAAGCGACCGATCATCTTTAATCGCTTGCTGTAAGGAGTAATATCTGGAATGATTTCTGTTAAGGTTCGTCTTCTCTTCGACGGTGGTGGTGGTGGCAACATATCTTCTGTATTTGTATCATCATCTTCATTTAATTCACTATGGGAATTACCATCTATGTTTTGATAAATAATTCCCACAGTATCATGTAAGGTTTCTTTTCCATTTATTGTGTCAACGTATCTATCAAAATTGTCGAAAGCTACACCAGTGCATAGTGAAGGATTTAGAATAATGTCTGGAGGACAAACTTGAGTTTGATGAACGGATGATATAGTTGCTTCGGTTTCCAATTCTTCTAAAGTGGTATAATTACAACAATGTCCAAATCTATTCAGAATATTTATTATTTTTTTACTACTTGTCAGACTTTTAATAGTCATACCAAGAGTGATGTGTTTTGATGGTTTAACCGTACCATTACTTACACAAAAAATTGCATCAGCAGCCATTGAAGAACTTAATCGATTACAATTTAAACCATCTCTGCGCCGAATATCTTTACCACCAATCAAAATTTAGTCGCTTGTTTTAATTTTGGACGGCATTTTCGATTTTTCGATGTTTAAAATCGTATTTCGCAAGATTAAGGCCACTTTATCGATGAGATTGTCTTCTTCAAGTTTTGTCAAATCATCTTCTAATAGAGTGCATTCCTTATGAATGATAATTTTGTTTTTTTGTTTCGATATAATTTTAATAGATTTTTTGAAATATTTTTGTATTTTTTCTTCAAGGTAATGATTATTTATTAAATTAATATCTAACTCAGGATGACGGTTTTGTTCATATTCCAATTCATTATTGTATATATCGGAAAGAGATGACAACAATACACATTTTCTTTCTGTTAAAACGTCTTTCTCGATAATCGACACAATATGACTAAAAATATCTTTATGGATACTACGATTTTTATGCCAAGATGAATATGGAACATCCGAAATTAATTTGTTATAATCATTTAAAAAAGCTAATTCACAGGAATGGTGATAAAAAATAGTTCTATTTGTAGATTTGAAATTGTTAATTTTCTGTAACAACTGTTCATTACTGAGTTTTTCCATCCACATAATAATTTTATCATAAAGTTTTGCATCGTTTGAGTGGTGAAGACTTTGTTGTTTACCCTTATTCTGCTTACGATCTTTATCACAAAAATAACAGACATATTTTAGTTGTCGACCTGTTCCAATATCTTCTGCAGTAGTGTCAAAAGTTTCGTTGTTAGCTGTATTTTCATTAATACTTGAATCACAAGTTGAGCTGGAAGCTGGATCCGGAACTGAAACATCTCCTAACATTCTCTGACTATCTAAACTCAGAGTTGCATCTTCTGATAATGTCTCGCTATTCAAATTTGGTTGAGAATGAGCTGATATGCTCGAACAATTTGAACTTTGATCAATGTCTTCCAAAATATTTGAACTTGAACGAACAACTGCACATGCGGTTTCACTGTTTAAGCTTGTAGGTGAACTGGAGTCACTGGCTAAATTTAATTCTGATGATAAATTACGGTATTTTGCCATTAACGCTGTAAAACTAGCATAACATTGTCTATGATATCCATCTGTCTCATTTATTTCGGTCGGCAACTTAGTGTCATGATACTTTAATTTATATTTCACACGTACACTCAAAACTTCCTGGCATTTCTTTAGTTTTTCACTCACGAAAAGTATTAGTTTATCATTTTTGCCCTTACAAAAAACACATCGCATTTTATCACTGGCCATTATAAAAAATTCATAAACAAACAGTGAGACACAACATAAACACAAACGTGGGCCTTTAGACTGACGCCATCTTGAAAATTTGGCGGCTGCGCCAACGTCACTGTCTGTCTCTCTCTAACTACTATCACGACGCTGTGTGGATTTCTTAATAGTCCAGGAAAGATAGCTCAAAAACTGCCCAAAGCTGGAAAAAAATCGCTCACACTTTTTCTCAACGGTTTTCGACTCATTAGACCTCCCTTTACAACATATCAAAGTTCCCCAAAAATCCCCGCATTGGCATTTTCGTCGTACCCTGTGAAACATTTACTTAATTTTATGTATTTAAGTGAAAATTGAGAATACGTTCCGGTCGCTCGGACGGGTTTCAAATTGCAAGTAATGCTAGTTTATATCAGAATTAGGATAAAAAAAGACAAATAGCCCAGAAAATCATTCAATTTTGGCCAATTTTGGTATAAAAAGGCCAAAACAAGTCAAATTTTAACCGAAAACTATCAAAATATAAAAGAACCCGTGATGAATGTTTGATGGTGGTGGTGGCAGGACTGTGTGTGTGTGTGCGTGTGTGTGTGTGTGTGTGTAGGTGCGTACGTGTGTGTGTGTGTGTGCGAGAGCGCCCGCGTGTCAGTTTGTGTGAGCGGGCATGCGTGCCCACAGTGCAGGGACGACCAACGCGACAGGTACGGTAAGATTCGCGTTGTGCGTGTCCATAATGTAGTTACACCGTCGTTACAACAGAATACTGCCAATGTAGACGACCCACCTGGTTAAGTGACGGTAAGATTTTTAAAAGTGTACATATTTTCATTTACCTAACCATGAAATCGCATTAAATCCTTTTATCGTTACAGGTGAACATACCAAATGTCAGGACTGAGAAAATGTTTTCTTTTTCAAAATTATTATTGAATTGTTTCCAAATGAATAAATAAATTTATTGTCTTTTGTCTAGACAAAAAAATACGCGTAACTTTCCAGAAACGTGCTGCGCGCGAGCGTACCCTCTATCCTCCTCGACCCCTCCCCCCACGCGCATACACACATACACACACACACACACACACACTCACACACATAGGGTCGTGCCACCACCACCAAACATCCATCACGGAATCTCTTCTATTTGGATAGTTTTCGGTTAAAATTTGACTTGTTTTGGCCTTTTTATCCCAAAATCAGCCAAAATTAAATGGTTTTCTGGGTTTTTTATCTTTTTTTATCCTAATTCTGATATAAACTAGCATTACTTGCAATTTGATACCCGTCCGAGCAACTGGAACATATTTTCAACTTTTTCTTAAATACATAAAATTAAGAAGATGTTTCAAGGTTTAGCAATCGAATTAATGTTTGGCAAATTAATTTTAGGTTTTTATATATTCAAATAATGTAATATTAAAATGACAGACGTACTATAATGATTTGAAATTTAAAAAAAAAAAAAGATCGCGTATGGCATATCATTGGCAATGATAAAAGTGTCTGGCAATAAAAAAATAGTGTTTGGTAAACCTATCTAAAGATAAGAAATTAAAAATTTAGCTTCTTGAAATACTTTCAAAACCTTGGATTATTACCTGTACAGGTAGGATGCGCACCAATGAACGCAACCGCTACCGCCAGCCAGATAGCCTAGGCTCTACCCAAAAGAGGAAGAAGGACAACATATTAAAAAATCAGCTGACCTGAAATTCTTTCTCGAAAACGTTGCTAGCTCCTATACTATTAGTACATAGCAAGGCCTTAGATTTCTAGGTATTACGTTTACTGCCTTGAGTACATAGGTCAATTGGGTTAGCTTTAGCTACCTTTGGGGAGCCTGCTTGCTATTTTACTGAGTTTTCTTTTACCGTTTTCTTGTATTTTTTTTCTTGCGAATTAACCTGCTGCGTAAATAAGAATTGGTAATATTTGGGATATAAGTGACTTATTTCCTCTGGTAAGTATTACATCCATTATAGTTTTTGAGTTTACTATATTTTTACTTTTTTTGTTTGTTTGAGAGCTAAAAGGTAAAATTAAAGTGAATCAATGTATCATTCTTGCCCTTTTCCACATGTTTTTTTTTTATTTGTAGCTAAAAACATTTGAAATGGGTGAATTAAGAGCTGTGATCAAACTGGCAATCTTAACTGTGGTTAATGGCCATTTTATATTTGATGAGGAAGATGAGGATGAGGGCAACCACAAACAGGCAACAATTCTGGAAAAAATTGAGAACTTTGCTGAGGTAACTGTTCCTCAGTTTTCTGACAGGCAGTTTCAACAACATTTTAGGATGTCCCCAACTACTTTTGAGGACTTGCTTGAAAAGCTGTCGGTGGTATTTCATAATAGGCCTGATGGTCCAGGACGGTTTCCTGTTCCAATGGAAAAACAGGCTATGATTGCTCTATGGTGCTTGTCCAATTTGGAAAGCTTTCGGTAGGTACAAGGGTATGTAATTCACAAGCGATGATAAAAAAAAGTTTCTATATAGTCATTAAAATTTATCATTTCCAATATAGAAGTTAAACTAAATATTTATACATATACATAGTTTAAAAAGTTCAGGAAAAATCCTACTGCAGAACTATAAAAGAAAAGGTTTTATAATTTTTAGTTTGATAAATAAATGATAAATTATGATGATGATATTATCGCTGATTGAGGATTGACCAATCCTCATTCAACACGATTATACTATGCTTTTGTTTATTATTGATCTAGCCCATAATTTTAGTTCTGTGGGGGATAGATTTGGTATCTCTAAATCTACATGTTGGGATGTCCTTTATAGGACCTGCCATTCTATCCTAGCATTAAATCAGCATTTTGGCATAATAGCCTGGCCTACTGGAGAAAACGCATTAGGAATTATCAGATGTTTTCAAGAAATTAGCAGATTTAAAGGTAAGACATAATATGTATTTAAAAGTGAAGTTCAAATGTGTTTTTCAATACTTATATTTTTCTTATTTTGTTTATTCACAGTAACTTTGGCCCAGCTTATAGGGCAATATTTTGAGACAATGAATGTTGAACCATAAGACCTGAAAAACTTCTTTGCTTGCCTGGACAACATGACATAAAACAATAAAAAAATAAATTATACTTTTTTGTGTATATTTGTGAATTTTTATGTTATTTAGGTTGTTATTTTTTTGTTATTCAGGTTGATAGAACTTTAAATAAAAAATGTTTATTTCTAAAGAATCATGTTAAAACAAATTATGTTTTACAGGTATGTAATTGAATTGTCACACTTGGAAAGTCCACAATCTGTTTCTTTTCCATTTGTGAATTTTACAGGTTCTATCAACCCTAATGACAAAAGTATACAATGTTCAGAGATTGCACTAAAAAAGAAAAACTGAGTCAAGAATAATGAATGGAACCATTTGTCTTTGTGTCTATAATTGTATATAGCACCACTATATGAAAGACCATCATAATGGCTCAAAATCCTATCTACTCTACAAGTTTGGCCAAAGTTATCATGATCATTCTGTATAATAAGTAGTTAGTCATATTTAGTATATCTTTCATTTTAGGTGTTCCAGGATGTATTGATGGGAGTCATATTAAAATATTGCCACCAAAAAATTATCCAAACTCTTACTGCAACAGAAAAAGTTTTCATTCTGTGTTATTGCAAGGTGTTTGTGATAATAAAAGATTATTTACCCATGTTTATGCGGGCGAGCCAGGATCAATACATGATAATAGGCTCTTTGAAAAGTCAGATTTGTACACAGGAATGGAAAATGGAGATATAACTTTTCCTGCCGACAGTCACATGCTTGGTGACTTGGCCTATCAGTTAAGGTATTGCCTTCCAGTTGGTTTTAAAGATCATGGGAATCTGACAAATAGACAAAAAATTTTAATTTAAAATTATCACAAACAAGAGCAGCAATTGAAAATGCATTTGCCCTACTGAAAGGGAGGTTTCGTAGGCTTAAGTTTATGGAAACTGTAAGGTTAGATTTGATATGTTTATTGATTGTATCGGCATGTATATTGCATAATATATGCATTCTCAAAGGGGACAATCCTGAACATCTATTTAATTTGGAAGAAGAATTGGAGGAAGAGAGAAGAGTTAATGGCGCAAACATTTTGGAGTTACCTCAAAACAATCAACCCGCTTTAGAAAAGAGAGCAAATATTATGAATGGACTACCACTGGATGTACAGTTTCTATAAATTCCAAAATGCAACATTCAAATTTTAATTTAAATTAACAATTGAAAATTGGAAAATATTAAAATGTTTATCTCCTAACTAGTTTTGTGTAATATCTGCTGACATCCCTGCATTTGCGAAAATATTTTAAAAATGTAGATTAGCACTTCCTATGGCTTTATATGTAACCCAAGCGTGTATGACAGCCAGTATTTAATTTTAATAATAACATTTTATTATATTTTATCTAGGTATTAGTTCAGAGATTCAAGAAATAAAATATTTTAAACTAATCAATGTATTTTTATTACTTAAAAAAAAAACATTTTGAGGATTATTTGCTCTATTGTAGGTAATGTACAGGGTGGTGACAGTGGAACAGACATAGTACGGCTCTTTTTTTAAATCCCAAAATACGCCCTTAAGGTTTTTTGAACATCTTTATTTATTTTTTTATTTGTTGATTTGTGTTAAACTGGCAACAACGGTTATTATAAATGAAACACCCTATATTTTATTACCTTTTTAGATTCTACATAGAAGTATATAGCATGTGATATATTATAAAATTCATGTAATAATAAAATGTATATTTAAAATGTCAAAGTTGCAGTTTAACACAAAATTGCCAATTCTGCGTCACAAAAAAAAAGATTTAAAAATTAAAGCTTTTGCGAATTTCAACTTTGAAGGCGTATTTTTGGATAAAAAAAACTATTTCCAATGTTGCACTATGTTCTATTCAAAATCGCCACAATAAACTCAACACAATTAACTCTTAATCTTAAAATACATCTTAACATATACCTAATATCAAATAATATAATACTTGTCTAATTATTGGTATAAGAAGGAACTGAAGTATTCAAAAAACAAGGAACATTTTAACTAAAGCATAAATAGAAAAAAAATCATTCTATAATTGAGGAGGTTTAGAGCAAAACCGAATAAATCCACCAAAAATTCTTTTTGGAAAAATACAATTTTTCTCCAACGAGAAAAGTATTTTTTAAATTTTTCTTACTAGCAAGCACTATTAGAGAAATCATGATAAAACATTTGCTAGAATATAAATTTAAAAAAAATATTTTTTAGTTCAAAATAAATTAAAAACAAAAATGGATTTATTTGGTTTTGCTTGAAATAACTGGATTTATTTGATTTTGCTCACAACTTTATTAGAAAAAATTAACAAAAGTGTTATTCTTACTACTAATACAAACAGAAACATTATGGCATTTTGTTAACTAACAGCAAAACCAAGGGTGCATTTAAATATGAAGTGCAAACTCTTCTTCTAGTCACACTCATTTCTTTTTTTGGTTTTGCATGAAAACATCAATATTGCCATTAAAATTAAGTAGGATTTATTTGTTTTTGCACGCAAATATTTAGCTGATATGATGTAATTCAGCAAGATGAACCAATATTCGTCGCTAACTAATTTTTTATAAAAAATGGATTTATTCGGTTTTGTTTCAAACCTCCTCAATTGAACTAAAACAAGGAACATTGTAATTATAACTAGAAAAAAATTAGTAAGTTTTGGCATTTTTTCATTGGCCAATAGGGAATAGTCAGTTCACTCACTGTCAGAATTATTCTCGGAATTATTTGTGTTGGCTGCTGGAGTACTCCTCTCCACAGCTGATGTCAACCTCTCTAGTAAGTCTAGATACCGGTCTTGCCTAGTCATTTTTTCTCTATGCCGCCTTTCTATTGCATTTTCTGCAGCTTTTCTTTTTCGCATAAACGAAGACTGGTATCTAGATGTACTAGGAGTAGAAGTATTGTTCGGTTCTGCCAGGGGCTCTACTGGATTATTGGCTAAAAATTAATATATACATTTATGTCAAAAATTGTTGACAATAAATAAAAAAACAACAGACAAGACTCATAGATTTTGACATTGATTATTCAAGTATAGTAGCAACAAGACTTATATAAGCATTTTTTTTAAAACTCTATAAAAGGTACAAAAAAATTTAAAATATAAACATCTATTGTATTTGGTGTACAGTATGTGGTGTACATCAGTAAAAAAGTAATATTTAATTAACTGATATTATAATACTTCAAATATTATTTATTATGTTACCAAAACTTTGCATGTAATTTACCTTTCTGGCATTCGTAAAGTTCTAAATAAATAAATAAATTTATAAGAAACATTTCAAGCAGAAAACTATTATACCCAACCACTGTTTAAGGATACATTTTCCAGGAGAAAATGGCTGATTTACAGCTCTTACAAAAGTCGTACTTCTCTCTCACTCTTTTCGAGAGAGAAAGTTATAAGAAGCAATCTTCTAGAAGAGAGCTGTAAATCAGCCATAAGGTTTTTGCAAATTTTTTTTGTTTCTATATGTATATATATAAAATGCTTCCATAACTCTGGAACTTACTATACCTGATATATAAAGTTGATTTAAGCATTAATTTATACCTATAACTGCTCCTTCCACAGCATTGGTTATTTCACCCAGAACATTCATGCCTGTTCTGCTAGAGCATGTAGCTGGGGATTGAATTTCGGGCCTTTTAAACAAAATGTCATTCATGACATCAAAAAATTTCCAGTTTTTTTTGCTATTGCCCGACTGGTCATTGTGTTTTTTAACTGATTTATATTGGTTTTTCAAGACTTTCCACTTGGTATCGCATTGCTGGATGTTATATTGGGAGCCAAGTTTCTCAGTCAACTCACGAGCAATCTTACTCCAGACATATTTCTTTACCCCAGAATCAAATCTTTGTTCATACTTCCTATACATGTCGATCAAAGCTAATGTAGCCTCGTCAGTCCAAAGTTTACTGGTCTCTGTAAATAAACCAGAATAACTTGCTTAATTATGTTTTTGTAATTATAAATACTTAAGTAGAAAGAAATAAAAATAAATGTAATTGATTAAATAAACATAAAAACCTTGGATTGGTAGATCTCCTACTTGTATATCTTGTCCTATACCATCACGTTGAATAGATGAATTATCTACAATAAAGTTAAGAATAATTATATAAATATATACCTAGAGAAGCTATTCAATAATATAAAACATACATACTGCTTTCAATTCTATTGTCCACACAATTCTCCTTAATGGCCTCTTTTTGTGTTCTTGAGGTTGAGACAGAAGAACATTCAGGAGTATCATCAATATCATGGACAAATTCAAAGGCTTTTTTGAAATTGTCCCTCTCTTGCTGTTGCTGAAGCAGCTCTGTAGCAAGAGTTAAATCTAAAAGGAAATTTAATCTTTACACTTTCTAATTTACTAAATTTTTTAAACATTTTTTAATCCTTCAAATTTAAATGTAGGTACACTCAATTTATGTTCTTTTACTTACTTCCATTGACTACAATTTCATTAAATTCTTCCTGACTTACTCCAATAGTGTATGTTACCCCTTGTTCTTCATCCCTAAGCTCAATTTTTAACGACATTTTTTATGGTTTTTATAAATAAATGACTACTGGTTTTTATATTGCTGAAATGTGTTAAAAACCGAAATCAGGTAAAAATAAAAACAAAACAGAACGAAATATCAGCCGGCTATAACTTAACCTCACAAAACCAGATTAATCTTTTCAATCTTCTTTCGGAGACAGATCTGTCAGATTTAATCAGATCGGTCAGGATGTCATTTACCGAACGCCACGGATCCACTTCCCCTACATCTAGATGCAATTACCGAACGATTCGGATCAGTCAGACTGGTCGGACGACATTTTCCGAACGCGACTTATGTTACTAAACAACTGCCATTTTGTGTCAATTGTCAAAGTTTGTTTTGATAGTGAATTTCCTTGCTGCTTTTATTCATTTCAGAGAGACTATAAAGGTATATTCAATCGCAATAAAATGGTGCAGCAGTGCTATTTGTGTAAAATTTATAAACATCAGGCTGGAGCGGAATCTTCAAAATTTCATTCGTAAGTATACATCTTGTTTATGTTCAGAGGCGTATCATGGCGTCTCATTATCGAGAAACTTGTTGATAGCTTTCGATTTATAACTGTAATATTCGAAATTCTAGCCGTCCCAAGAACCCGGAAAGGAGAAAAAGGTGGTTGTCGGCCCTTGGATTCGAGGAAAACCATCAATTTCCTAAGAGGGTCGAGCTATGTTCCAAGCATTTTGGAGAAAATACGTTTGTTTATGGAAGTGAGGGACAAAAGACACTCAAGCGGGATGCGATTCCTCTCATCTCTCATTCTTTGTTTGATCCTGCAGTAAGCACCAGGTAAACTCTTAATACATAATAGACTAGTTTTTCTAATACAGTAAACAAAAAAGAATAGTTGTATTTAACAATATTTAACAACCACTCATTTTGATTCTGATTCTATCTGCTGTTTAACTTTTCATATAAGATGTTTCTGATCTAGGTATTTCCTAACTTAACTGTTATGGATTTAGGTAAATTTAGCTATAATTAGTGTTATATTTTGGCAATTTCACAGATAATAGACAGATATAAGACATACGTATACTCTATAATCTATCAGCAATCAAGAAGAGCTAACATCGATGAGCTAACATAATATCTGCATCTTATGAGCTGAAATGAAGATGATGCTTATATCTTACATTACATTGCTATGAAAACAGTGACAGTATATTTGATTGATTTGGTTTGTTCAAATCACAATGCATTAAACTGAGTTGCTCATACTTTGATAAAAACTATAGTTCCTTTTGAATTTTTGTGTATTTTTTATATATGTGCATTGATTTTTATAACTCATACTATTATTTAGTGTTTAATTTCATGAAGTATTTCTATGCATTAGTATCTCACTATGTAGAAGTCCCTAATTTGGTTTTGTATATATATATATATATATATATTATGCTTTATTCTAGTTCAGAATCATCTGTAAGTCCAGAGAAGCAAGAAGACTCAGATTGTAGTACTATATCTGCCATTTCAATCACTTGTGAGGGGACTCCTGCTAAAAAAAGGTAAGTTTAATTTATATTCTCTATCATGTTATTTTGTAGTATATTGAAATTTCTATGAAATTGAACATTTCTGAAGTCCTACATCCATATGGAAGCATTTTATATTTGCTGAATTGATATCGTAGATGGAAAAAATACCACCATTGTAGGTTCAAGTACAACAAGAAGGTATTCAGGAAATTATCTAGGGTTTTGTAATGATTTAAATAGAGATTACCTCAAGCTGTACCATAAAAAAGATGATGAAGTTGAAACTCATTCAGTTTGATATATGCCTTAATATAACCCTTACTAAATGTTTGATAAGTCCTAATCAGCAGTATTCTATTCATAGCACTTATTTATTTGTTGTTTACAGGTTATTCATGGATGAAGAGATGTATAACTTTCCTGGCCCATCAAATGAAGAGTAAGGCTTATTAAACATTTGTGCTTTTATACTGTTACATAGGAATTAATTTTCTTCTTTGTAGGCAATATGTCCATACTTCCTCAACATTATCAGCATCAGAAAGTGATAGTGCTGCTAAAACTGCTGGAGTACAAGAACATATGCTTGATAAGAAAAAAAGAAAGAGGTGAGAGAAGTTTATCACTTATTGACTAAATAATATTAAATTGACCTTGGGATGAAAACGTAGCTATTATGTTATGAATTAAGCAATTTATTCTTAATTTATTTAAAATGTTTTAAAGCAGTTTTAGGGTGATTTTTCTTAAATCTGTACATTTCAGGAAAATTCGCTATGTGGGTGATATATCTAGTGAGGATTTTTCCACCCCAAAAAAGGCAAAAAGAAATTTCAGAATTCTTAAATATGCCTTAGAATCCGAGAGGAAAAAAGTCGTGGCCTCCAGACGACCGTAACAGCTTTAAGGAAGAGAATTAAAACATTAAGCAGCCTGTTGAAGCTGCTGAGAAGCAAACATTATACATCAGAATCGTCAGAAAATATGTTAAAGGTAACTAAGATCTGTGTGATCCACAAAGGACTTCAAGCACTAAGCGTAATTATTCATATTTCAGGAATCATTACCAGGGTCTGCTGCTGAAATTTTTGAGCGAATGTTGAAGGGACCTGCAACTCAAAAATACAGTCCAGCTATAAGATCATTTGCTTTAACTTTAGCTTTCTATTCACCAAGAGCTTATAATTTTGTGAGAAATACTTTCAATCGGTCACTTCCTCACATCAATACTATAAGCAAATGGTATCAGTCAATAGATGGTTCACCAGGATTCACAAAAGAGGCATTGAATGCATTAATATTGAAAAAGGAAGAAGCAGCTGCCCAGGGAAAAGAAATTTTTTGCAATTTAGTTTTAGATGAAATGTCAATTAGGAAACAAGTAGAATGGACAGGTACCAAGTTTTGTGGATATGTTGATATAGGCACACATGTCCACTCAGATATTCTCTCAGAGGCAAAAGAAGTTCTAGTATTCATGCTAGTATGCATTAATGGGTATTGGAAAATACCAGTAGGATACTTTTTCTTGGATGGCCTTAGTGGTGCTGAAAAAGCCGACGTAGTTAAACATTGCCTTACATTTGTTAACCAGTCAGGAGTAACTGTTACTTCACTAACATTTGACGGCGCCCCTGTTAATTTGACCATGGCATCACGTCTAGGAGCCAATTTTAGTGATCCCAAACAGCTGAAAACCTACTTCAATCACCCTATAACTGGCAACAAAGTTTATATATTTTTAGATCCTTGTCACATGATAAAATTAGTCAGAAATACTTTTGGTTCTCAGAAATATTTGACAGATATGTCTGGCAACCAGATTGACTGGAATTTTTTAGTAAAACTGGTTGATATACAAAGTTCTCAGGGATTACACTTAGCTACAAAAATAAGGCCCAGACACCTCCAGTGGGCAAGGGAGAAAATGAAGGTGAAGATTGTGACTCAAACGCTGAGTAAGAGTGTAGCAGATGCGTTGTTATACTTGGGAGAAGACTTAAAATTACCATCTTTCAAAGATATTAAACCAACGTCTATTTTTGTACAGATGTTTAACGATCTATTCGACGTTTTCAATTCCCGGAACAGATTTGCAAAATATTTGTACAGGAGGCCTTTATCCCCCTCTACCGCCCACACTTTCTTCCAGTTTTTAGATCAAGTAACCATTTATATCTAAAATTTAAAGCTTGCTGACGTTGCAGTTTTAAATTCACCAAGAAAAACTGGATTTTTGGGATTTTTGATTTGTATCCAAAGTCTTAGGGGGTTGTATAGCACCTATGTAGAGAAACTGAAATATATGAAATACATATTGACAAACAAATTATCCCAAGATCATCTTGAATTATTCTTTGGTGCGATTCGGGGTAAAGGAGGGTTCAATAACAATCCTTCAGCAAGACATTTTGAAGCCGCATATAAACGATTACTTGTACACACGGAGATTTCAGGTCCATCGACGGGAAACATATCTCATTCAGAAAATCTGACAATTTTATCCTGCGGTAGTGGACAACAGGTTACAGTAGATGAACACGGGGAAAATTTATTAAACAGTAAAGAATTCATTGATTTTAAAGATGCTGTGAGTGAAGACATATCAAAATATAGTTTTTCTTCATCTGCTTGGGACTTAACAATATATCGTCGGTTGTCGAGAAAAGTGACACAACTCAAAAATCACGTTTTTTCAGATATATGCATGAATGATCGTCAAAAAGTGTATATTTTTATCACACGAACCGTCACAACTGTAGTTTGAAAAACGGCCCGTAGATAGCAGAAGTGTCACTTTTCTTTTCAGTAACTATTCACCTGCGCGTCTCAAGAAAAGTGTCATAACTTCAGTTGTGCCTGGCACGTCTCGCAGTGTGGTAGTGCGTTATCAAGAAAAACGACACACTTTGACTTCGGCTGTGTGATCTGAACGCTGTTATCAAGAAGAGTGGCACATTTTGTTTTATGACGATTTTGATAATAAGGTAGGTAGCATACTTAGTTGAGTCTTATCGTGCATGTCTTTAGTCTTCAGTTATGTCGTCCTTCCTGATAAATAGTGATTATTTTTTGACAAGACTTTATCGGTTTCATCCTAATTTTGAGTTATGATGGTGTTCTTCATAAATTTACTCCGACTAAATCATACGTCGAAAAATATGTCACTTTTTTCAACACTTTCAATATGCCATTTTAAATAAACATGATGATTTTGTTTTAGGTCAACTATGTACCTTTTAACAATGTTTTTGTCGTTCTAAGAATCTTATTAGATTTCTTTTCAGAAAGTGATGGATTTGAATACCAAAGCTCCACTAACTCAACGAACAAGGCTGTTAATGCAATTGTCTGCAGAAAAAGGACTCAGTGATTTAGAAAATGAGGGAATATATGGACAATCATCAGAAACTGGTAAGTCGGTTAAGCCGTGATGTGTTAGGTCAAATGTAGAATTATTCAATTCAACCTGTAGATGCTCTTATGGAGAATCTAAACGAGGAATAGGTATTTTGGTGAAATATTTTAATGTAACTATCGCAACCCTTTCATATGCTGCAATATTTTTATATACGGTTGCTATAGTTCCAGTGAGATATTTTACGAAAATATGGCCCATTTAGAGGCTCTGTTACAAAGACAAACTTTTCCATCGTTGAATTGACATTTTTGTAGAAACAAATGTTTGAAAAAATGGAAGCTATTTGAGCTACTATTGATTCTTTTTTCTCTTTTAGGATCTGGCAAAGAACTTACAGCACCTAATTCACCACCCCCAATTAATCCACCTTGTGAAGGAGAAAATGCGTTACCGCATTTCAGAGATGTGACAGAGATTGTAGATTCATTCTTGACAGCTAGCCCATCAAAAATAAACGATCAACTGATTGATCTCGACAATGGCCTGCTTGATTCCCTAGGGACAGAAAAGGGCGAAGAGATATATAATATTGATCAGCAGGCCAGAGACACATTGTCACATATACGAGAAGCTCAAAATACAGAAGCGGAGTTCGACGATGTTGAGTCACCCTGTGATGACTCCGATGCAGACCCAGACTATGTTTCGTCTGCATCGGCAGAATCTCCTTCCCCCGAATTATCAAATTTCGAAGAGCCCAAAGCAAAGAAGCCCAGAAGAAGAAAAATGAATGTAGATGCTTGGCAAAAGAACATTGCAAAACGGCAACGAAATAGAGGACTGGAATACATATCGTCATCCAGCAAAAGGGTCATCAAGTCTAGAGAAATGGGACCTCCCTGCCAAAATTGCCGATTAAAATGCAACGAGAAAATCTCCAGTGAGGAAAGAAAATTAATATTCTCTGATTATTGGAGTCTAGGAGATCTGCAGCGGCAACGAGATTACTTGGCAAAATGTATGGAATCTGTAACATGCAGATATCAGTATAAAAATAGTAGGCGTGCTAGCAATAATGCTTTCTACTTTTTTATCCGAGGAACTAAAATAAGAATATGTAAACATTTCTTCAGAGCATTGGGTATTACGGACCGTCCGATAAGAACTGTGTTGGAAAAACAAAGAAGCTTTACCAAAGGGATACTGTCGGGTGAACAGAGAGGGAAACACGGTAATCACCATCGCGTCGATGATGATATTAAAACTGGGATTAGAAACCACATAAATTCGATACCACGTATAGAAAGTCACTATTGTAGGAAAGATTCGAATAGAGAATACATTGAAGGGGGCAAAACAGTGGCCCAGCTACATAGAGACTACGTCGAATCATGCAAACAAGCTGAGAAACCTTACGGCAACTACCTAATGTACAGCAGAATATTCAATTCTGAATTTAATATTTCATTCTTTTTGCCTAAAAAAGATCAGTGCACGGACTGTGTTGCATTCCAAATGGCATCTGGTGAAGACAGACAAAATTTACTTAGTGATTATGAGACTCACATCGCTGAAAAAGACCTATCACGCCAAGAAAAAAAAGAAGATAAAGAAAATAGTGAAAGCAACGTAATCGTTGCAGTTTATGATCTGCAGGCT